CGCCAGCGAGAGCAGCAAAAGGACAATGCCAGCAACAACGACCAGGAGGAGCAGGATGACTATTCCGATGGGCATTCGGAGGGCCAGGGATCAGTTGGTGTGGAAGAGGAATCGGCACAGCCCGGATTGTCCAAGCAGCATGTGGAATTCGATCCTGATCCAGAGGTCTTAAATGAGCAGCCACGCCGACCCAGCAGCGCCGAAAAGGAGAACCAGCCCAACAACGTCAACAACAATAATAACAAGAAGGGCAAAAAGGATAAGCGCAATGGCTCAGGACCCAAGGCAGCTGTTGGTATTCTGGTGAATAAGAACGAAGCCGTGGCCGTCAGGCCAGTAACTGTAGAGGAAACGCCCACTTTGAACAACTTTGAAGTGCGTGCGCCAAAGGATGTGGTGGAGCTGAAGAAGCAGGAGCAGAAGGAACGCAAGGAGGATAACAACAACAGCACCAAGCAACAGGCTCAAAAGAAAAACGGCAACGCTGCCAAAAAGGAGAAGCCCATTGCCGCTCCAGCTCTGCTCAGCGCTGCCATGGAGCAGCCCGTGGAGGTGCCACACGTGCCCAAGCAAACCATACTCAAGCAACAGTCCACGGGCTCTCCCAAGCTGCAGCACAATAACGTGAACAGCAAGAGCAACAAGCAGCAACAGCATGCGGGCAAGAAGCAGAAGGAGACGTCGCTGAGCGTGAAGGATCTCGTGCAGGCACTGGACAAACTCGCCGAGAATCAGACTATTGGTGTGTCGGCCCTGATGAATGTGTTTTCGCGCGCCGAGCTGAATCGTTCCGAGATCCAAATGCTCATCGAGTATCTGCTCAACAGGCAGCAGGATATGCCCGCCAGTCACGGCGATTGGTCGGACGACGTATGCCAGAAACTGAAACGTCAACTGGACGAAAAGGAAAAGCAGCTGGCCGAGGAACAGGAAGCTTCGATCGGCATCCAAGCCAAGTTGCGTGAACTTCGCCAAGAGATTAACACCGAGCGCGCCCAGATACACAGTCGCTGCCAGGCATACAACGAGAAGCTGTTGAGCAAGGATCAGGAGCTGGCAGCACTTAACCAGGAGCTAGCCAGTGCCAATGAGAAGCTGGCACTGGAGCGCCAACAATTCCAGGCGAAGCTGTTGCGTGAAAAGCAGGCCAGCTCCCAGGATCTGTTACTGCAGCTGCAGCGCCTGCAGCAGGACCTGGCGCACAAGGAGAAGGTCATTGCGGACATGACCAGCTTTGTGAATGCCGAGGTGCAGCAGAAGAACGAAGTCATACAGCAGCAGGCACAGCAGCTGCTCGCGGTGGAGCAGCAGCGCGACGAGCTGGAGGCTCGCCTCAACAACAGCGTCTTCGAGCTGGAGCAGCGGAGGCAACTCGAAACCGAGAATGCCGAGATTAAAGAGGAGCTGCGCAACCTAAACAAAGCCCTCGAGTCCACCAAGGCCGAGCTCGTGCAATCACAGGGCGAACTGGCGCGCGTCCGCAACACAGAGCTGCAGGAGCTGCGCCAACAGGCGGCCAAACTGGAAGCCACCAATGCCAGCCTCACCCAACAGCTCAGCCAGGCAAACAGTCAGGCCGTACAGGCTGTGCAGGCCTCCGCCCAGCAATCGGAGCAGGCCCAGGTGCAGGCCCAGGTGCAGGCCGAGGCCCTAACCAACCTACAGTCAGAGTTGCGCACCTTGACCGATAACCAAGCCACGCAACAGCAACAGACAACCGTTCTGCGGTCCCAGCTCGAGGAGGCGCAACAGCGCGCCGAGAAGCTGCAGGATAGGGAGCGACAGCTGGAGAAGGAGCTGCAGGAGCAGCGCGAGAAGAATAATGTGAGTGCTAACAACTAAGTTTATACCCAACCCTAGACAAGCTAAATGTATATACGTAAAGGGTTCCACTACGTCTGCTTCTGCCTGTTGCATACCTGCTAACAAAACCATTATACCCAAATGTTTCCCATTTTCATAGGCTTATGATGAGATGATGAGCTGAGTCATTTGTCCGTCCGTCCGCTCGAACGCACAAACTTCAATAATAACTATATATTTTATATAATATGAATTGGCATAAACGGAACAAGCTTATCAATTTTGATTGACGTAGACTGCCGACTATTTCCTGGTTTATTTAAATGTGTATTATAAAACTATGTACTAAATAGTACAGAACATTTTATGTATTGATAAACATTTATTGTACTAACTAATATTTTATATGTATGTCGATATTAACATTTACTAAACTAACCTTGCCCCCATACGATTTTCTTTGATGTGCTTTCTTTTTGTTGTTTGTGTTAATCCTTTCATCCCGCTTTGATACTAATTGCCACGTATTTGTGTTTCGTCAGGAAATTCGTATGAAAAATTGGAAGTTGATTGAAGCGTTGCAAAATGCCGAAGCAACCGCCAGATCCCCAACAACAGCAAAGACGAAAACAAATACAGCGCAAAGCGTAGGCGTAAGTGCACGCACTCCAGCATTGTTATAATTTCGATTCTTTTCATTTGATTGTATAGTTTGTAAAGAGTTATTAATAAAATATTTGATAAGCAATGACAAAAAAACAAAAACCATTTCCTTCTCCTGTAAGTCGCAACGCCTCCCGCTCTTTCACACTAACTTATGTGGGTAATTCTAGTGCAGCTGCAAATTTTAATTGCGTACATAATTTCTGAATTTGCAGCAACAACAGAAACAGTTGCAGCAGCAGCAACAGGCGGCCGCTGCCAATGGCGAGGACTTGAGCCGCGCGTCGGCCAACTCGGCCAAGGCGGAGCAGCAGCGTATCCGGGAGCTGTACCAGCGCTTGTATCCCGATGCTGTCAAGGCACACGCCGCCACCGCACTCAGCACTTCGTTCGAGGAGTGGCTGCAGCAGGTGCTCGCCACACACATTAAGCAGCAGCAGGCGGCCGCTGCAGCAGCAGCTGCGACAAACAGTAGTAATAAGTCCACGCAATCAAACAGCAGCAGTAGCAGCGATCACAATAGCAGCAGCAGCCACAACAATATTAGTAGCAATAATAGTAATTCGAATAGTAAATTCTCCGCTAGTGCTGCCGAGCAGCAGGAGCTGCAAACACAGAACCTGAAGCTGCGCAGGCGAAACGATGAGCTCACGCAGCTGGTCACCAAAACGGTAAGCTCAACCACCTGTCAATTGATGACAATGAAAATACATGAAGAACATATTCATTATGTAGAGCAACACTCTGGTGGACTTGGAGCAGCGTGCCCGCGAGCAGGATGAGCACTGGCGCGGCATTGTTAGCCAAAAGGAGCAGCTCATATCCAAGTTGCAGCAGCATGCTTCAAACGGTGAACAGGTGAGCTAATTGCTAGACTCCCTTTATGCTCAATTGTAAATTCAATTGTGATGATTTTAGGACATTTAATGTCGTCGTGTTGGATCGCCGCCCTTGATAATAAACAGCAGAACCACAACGATAATTGACAGCAATCACAACGTTTGTCGAACTTCCCAAAAACCACAACAACAAAAACAATTCTAACAATCTATTAAGTTTAAAGTTAATATTATAAATATATAAAAACATAAAAACAAGAGAAGAAAAACAAAAAAACAACTATAAAACTACAAAATAGGTGGAACAAAAACGGAAAGTAAATATTAAACGAGCCCAACAGCAACATTTAACATTTTAAAGTAGAAAAAATGATGAAATTAAGTAGTGCTTTAAAGTTTTATGTTTATATATACATATATACGTATACATATACATATACATAAACTAAACAAGCAAACAAAACTTGTGCAATGTTGAACATCTAAATGTGAAGCGAAGGAATGAATTAATATTATTCAAATTGATGATTATACACATACACATATAGAGCCTGTTAGCTGCCCGTCTGTAGTTAGGACTTGGACTCGCTGCTTAGGCAGGAGCAGCGTGCAATTGAAACCACGCCCACGCTCACAAATTGCTGCTGTTGCACCTGCATGCATACACACACACACACCCATTTATACAAAACAATTGTTTGTAATTTTGATTATTTATATAAACACATACACACAAAAACATATATATATATATATATATATATATATATATATATATATATATATATA